TATAGGCGCCGAGCCACAAAAAGCTTTCTTTAGTCTCTTCAAGAGAACCAGGGAAAACAATAGGCCCAAAGAAACCACTCAAACTCTTAACAATTAAAAGGTCTGAAGCCAAACAAAGCCAGTGATAGACTCTGCTCTGTGGAGTTTGACAATATCAATCTGTATCAGCATTTGGGGGCTCTATATCATTTTCACTGTGTGATACCCTCAATGCTTTCATTTTTCTCAGTTATACAGGCACCACTGAGGCATGCTGGCAGGACTTTCTGAGCCCACAGAATACGATAAGCTACTTTCTAGCCATTGAATTGACTAAATGGTTTTCCTTTGTGAAAAAAAAAATCTGACTATAGATTATAGTCTTTTAAAGTCTATAGCCTTTTAATCAACTTAAAAGACGACAAAACATGGAAGATAAGGAAAAAGGGGTGAAGCCTGGGTCTCAGACCAAATATAGTATTGTTAAATGCAGGGTTTGTTACGAGAATAAAATTGTACATCAAAAAAAAAAAAAAAAAAAAAAAACCTGCTTCTTTAGAAGAATTTTTCCTGTATGGAATCTGCCTTTCCTCCATCTGGCTGGTCTGATTTGCTACGTAATATATTAACTCAAGAAATGGTACTGTTAGGGAAGTTGCTGATATCACAGAGCGCTACACTGTTACTCCATTCTGAAAGAAGGAAGGTTCAGTTGCAGCTGATTCTTAGAGAAAGTAGGCCAATAGTCTAAAGCACCGGTGGGGGACCTGTGGCCTTCTAGGTTGTTAAGTGTAGCCTCTTGACTGAATCCAAATTTCAGATAACAGATCCTTTTATTTTTATTATAAATTTTTGTTCATCTTTTATATTTTTATTTAATTTTTAAAATGAATATATTTAAAGCCAGATGTGGCTAGCACATCTGTAATCCTAGCACTCTGGGAGGCCAAGATGGGTAGATTGCTTGAGCTCAGCAGTTTGAGACCAGCCTGAGTAAGAGCTAGACTCCCATTTCTACTAAAAATAGAAAAATGAGCCAGGCATTGTGGCAAGCACCTGCAGTCCCAGCTACTCAGGAGGCTGAGGCATGAGGATCGCTTGAGCCCAAGATTTGAGGTTTCTGTGAGCTGTGACACCACGGCACTCAACCCAAGGACAACAGAGTGAGACTTTCTTTAATAAATAAATAGAACATATTTAAAATACAATAACATACGTTTCAATGAAATAATCACCCCAGATCAACCAAGCACAATAGGAACATTAGAAGACATGCAGGCTAAACTGACAGCTGCTATGATCATGTTTAATTCTAACTTCCCCTGCTTGACTGGTGACGCTAACTCACAGGCTGGTTGGCAAGAATTTATGGGGGTCGAGTATGCCAGTCCGTTCCCAGCTTTTGACAATGGTGCCCTGTGTTTGGGTTTGAAGTGGAATTTGTGGGTAGCTGCACAGCTTGATAGTACTTTTTAATTCTGTCTGCTTACAGCCTGTCATGTCAAAGAAGACCAAGAGAACACTGAAGAACACAGATTTTTTAAATGAAGATTGGGAATTGCAATATTATCTTGTTTCTGCTAAAGATGCTTTGCTTGCTTTATGATACTGCAATATCATCATTAACGAAATTCAATGCTCATCAGCATTATAACCTTCATAAGGGCTACAGATATTTTAAATTAGAGGGAGAGGCATGAGAGATTGTATTGTAAAAATTAAAAGATGAAAAGCAAAATCAAAGACAATTCTTTCCAGCAGCAATAAGACCTGGAAATAATGCCACTAAAGAAACTTATACAGTAGTGAACAGGTGGGGGCAATTCAGTGATATAGAAACTGTGAAAGAATGTATTGTTGAAGCTGTAGGATACTTAGACCTCATAACATTTCAAAATACAAACAACTGCCACTTTGAGGAGAACCATAACGGATCAGCAGCATGCATTAGACTTCAACATAACAGAACTTTATGCAATACTTCAAAAGGAAAGTCTATAGTATTCAATTACTTTGGATGAATCAACTGATACTACTGGCTCTGTGCAGGATTTTTACTTCATTCGAATCATAACAGAAGATTTTCTTCTCTACACTCTGCGTTAGGCACTCTTGAGAACACTAGGAGTGTTGAAGTCTTGAGATTTCCTCAAGAACTTTCAAGATAAGTGTTGTGATGATGGACTGAATTTGGCAAATTTAGAGAGTGTATACACAGACAGTGCACCTTCCATGACGAGTAAACATGAAGGGTTTATTGCATGAATAAAAAAAGCATTAACAGATCCAGATGCTCTCGTTTTTTTTCACTGTATCCTCCACCAGCAAAATCTCGGGGCTAAAGCTACCATGTTAAGTGACACTTTGCCACAGGTTGTAAGTATTGTTAATTATATTCCTGCAAATGCAACAGGGATCTTTGGTTTCATAACATGCTAACATTGAACAACACTGAGGTATTCGTGTAGATGTGCTGTATCACTCTAAAGTGCAATGGCTATCAGAGCGACAGGTGTTAGCCAAAACTTTATCTCTGTAAGAACAGACAGTTAAGTTTTATGAAGAACAGAATCAGCAATGTGAACTACTAAAAGAAGATTTGTATAGGAATGTAGCATTTCTGTGTGATATCACACCAAATCAAAACTTGGATATTTATTTGCAAGGTAAAACTAAGTCTATGTATTATATGTGCCAAAAAAAATCTAAGTTTTTTTTTTTTCAAAAAAAGGCTTTTTTTCAAAACACTTCTTTAAAAGTAAATTTCAGATGAACAATTCTCTCCAGTTAGCAAAGGTCACTGATAAGCAGGATATGTGGAGAACATTTGAAGAAGGCACAGCTGTAATAGCCTATTAATTAGAAAATAAAATGAAAGGTTCCTTGACTTTGAGAATCACAACATGACACTCGTAGCATTTCAGCCTCACCTCGTTGATATCATCAAGGCACCTGCAGAACTACAGATGGAACTGGTTAGGCTCTCAGTAGATGGTGTTGTGAAGTCATTGTTTGTGGTTGAGAAAGATCCAGTTGAACGATGGAAAAATGCAGAACAGCAGGCTCAACCCTTTTGGTACCAGGGACTGGTTTCATAGAAGACAATCTTTTCCACAGATGGGGTGAAGGATGGTTTTGAGATGATTCAAACACATTGTATCTCCCCTCAGATCACTAGGCATTAGGTTCTCAGAAAGGGGCACTCAGCCCAGGTCCCACACCCGCGCAGTGTGCAGTAGTAGGGTTCCTGTCCCTACGAGAATCTAACAGCTGCGTATCTGCCAGGAGGTGGTGCTCAGATGGTGACGAGAGCAACGGAGAGTGTCTGTAACTAACTACTCCCTGCCACTCACCTCCTGCCATGTGGCCTGTTAGGAGCTACCCCATAGACTGGGGGTGAGGGACCACGGTACAAAATACCCACGCCTTTGGCAGCAGGCCTCAACAAATGCTTTCTTGCTTGTCAACCACTCATTGCTAAGAATTTACATTCTCCTATCTAACCCACAGCAATACTCCTTTAAGGTCACAAATGGCTGATACCCACCTAGAGGACCAAGGGAAACCCTGCCTCACTAGGCCACAACCAAATATTCAAATGCTTTCCAACGAACAGCAGACACAGCAAATTCTTTAAGAGGTTACCTTTAAAATTAACAAAGTTTTCATTTTTTGAAGTTACTAAATACCTAGGAGGTAGATTTTTACAAAATAATGTACATTTTGAAGTTTTTTTAAATACAACCTTATTTGGTAACAGCTAAATTAATGTGACCTTCCAACATGCAAAGGTTCCCCATCATGTCTGGGTTAGAAAGTGATTCTAATTGATAATTATTCTTATGGCAGAAAGGTGCAATCAATAGTAAGAACATTATCTGTCTTCAATTGTATGAGGGTTTCTCACCCACACCTCTACTGACATTTCCTGTAGTAATTCTTTGTTGGAGGCGGCTATTCTGTGTGTGGCAAGATGCTAAGAATCACCTG